ATATATATGTACGGCGATTGGGAAATTTTATTATAATCTGACTGCTTATCAAGTTAGTTAGAGAAGCTGGCTGCTTTGGTTTTGCCAAAGAAATCTGAAAATATTAATTTCTGTTGTTTTTTTAAGTTTTTTCATGAGACCAGCCATCATGACTTTTACATCCGTTTAAAAGAAGAATGTGATATGTTACCTGGTGCAAAAAAATATATTATTGTAACGTAAATGGATACCTTACGAAACTTGCGACGGAATATGTATCAGTGTTTTCATCTTCAAACATTTATGAAATCAGCTAATGATTTAGTATTTTATGCAGCTTTGTGAAAATGGTTTTTTAAGAAAAAAGAGCAATGAAGTACCGCTATCTAAGGTATAACTGGAATAAATTTTTTTATACGTACTAGACTAAAAGTCATTAAGTGATCTTATAAAATTAATAACAGCATTCTATTACTTAAAAAATTTAGATTTTTAGTGTTTATTGATAAAAATAGTTTAGATTATAGAGGGGACAATAATAGATTATAAAGAGGAAGTTGGTTTGATTTACTCTTTATTATCAGAAAGCTTCGATTATTCGAAGAAAATCTGGTTTCCATCAGTTCGTATAATCGAGGTCCTACTACATTTGTTATTTGAAAGCAAGCTTCGTTTTATGGATGATTTAGTTCTACTAAATACTTACATTATTTGATGGATGAAATTAATATCCGGAACATTGTTTCATTACACTATATGAGAGAATTAAACTCACAAATATATTTTTCACTTTAACAATTTGAAATTTGATCAAAGCTTGAGGACAACTATTATTTTAAAATACATACATACACACACAAAATAATAATCATAATCATTTCATGATAATAAGTTTGATACTTTTCTATGCGCCATCCTACGCAAGTATTTGTTTTAAAAATAATTTACTTTTGCTTAAAGTTATTTTTTTCTTCTTCTATTGATTGTAAATGAAAGTGTATTATAATAGACTGTAAAGTGTAAGTTGGTTTGGTTTACCCTTCATAATTCGAAAGTTTCGGTTATTCGAAGCAAATCTGGTTTCCATCAGTTCGTATAATCGAGGTCCTACTACATTTGTTATTTGAAAGCAAGCTTCGTTTTATGGATGATTTATTTTTACTAAATGCTTACATTATTTGATGGTTGAAATCAATATCTGGAACATTGTTTCATTACACTATACGAAAGAATTAAACTCACACATGTATATATTTTTCACCTTCACAATTTGAAATTTGATCAAAGCTTGATAACAGCTATTATTTTAACACACATACATACACAAAATAATAATCATTTCATGATAATAAGTTTAGTACTTTTCTTTGTGCCATACTACGTAAGTATTCTTTTTAAAAATAATTTACTTTTGTTTGAAGTTTAATCTTTTCATTACGATTCCTTGAAAATGTGTTTTTATGCTTTAGTTAAATATTTGAGATTGAAGTGTGCTAATTCTGATATCAATTCAAACTTTTTTCTAATTCTAATATTTTGCCTAAAGTATCAATCATAATTAACATTTTTGAAAGCGAAAATATAAAACTTATGTCATTTAAAAACAAAATTTTTCAATTTAAAACGAAATTTTGAAACATCTTTTGGTAACATTTTAAATACTTTATTAACACATTGAAAATATTGAGCTATTTAGCTTCAAAACCAGTTTAATCTTAAATTTAAGAATAAATGTTGTTTAATGTTAAATTTTTCTTTCTTTTTGGTAATGTTAGAAATATTCAAGGTTCTTGTTTCTCTTTTTTGATTTTTCCAAATTGATGATAACTTTTGGAAAAATTCAAATTTTAAATTTTACAGAAAATCGGAAAAATTTTTTTTTCTGTGTTTTTTTCAAGCTAAAATTGTATTTGCTCATTTTATTGTAAAAGTCAAATTAGTTTTATTGAACGTATCTTGCTATGTCATAAATTATAAAAAAAACATATTTAAAAACGATCTTTAAATGAAATAAAAGATAGCTAATATACCTATTTGAAAATATTAAAAAAATCCGAATAATTTTAAAGATGCTTGTCTTTTCTTCATAGCAGTATAAGATAGCTATTTCAGCTATTCCAAATTATAAAAAGAAATCCTCATAATTTTCGAGATATTTGTACTCAAAATTTTCTCTAACAGTATAAGATAGCTATTTCAACTATTTCGAATTAAAAAAAATCCTCACAATTTTCGAAATATTTGTATTACATATTTACATTTCATTATACAGTATAACATAGCTATTTTAGCTAATTAAAGTTTAAAAAAAATCCTCATAATTTTCGAGATATTTGTACTCAAAATTTCCTCAAATAGTATCAGATAGCCATTTCAAATTAAAAAAAAATCCTCATAATTTTCGAAATATTAGTTAAGTTCAGTTAATGGATAAGCAAAATTTTCAAAAATAAAAAAAAATCTTATTCAATTGGTTTTGAAACATAATAGACAGACATAAAAGAATTATAATTTTTACATACTTAAAAAAAAGAATACAAATAAAAGATTTATGAATTACTTAAGACCAATAAGTTGGGAAAATATTCTAAATTTAAATTTATTAAAAATAGAAAGATAATTTCTACCCCTAACAAATTAATTCACCTAGTTTAATTGATATAATGGTATTTATTCTATTAGTAATGCGTGTTATAAGAGAAAATGGTGTAAATTTTTAAAGATATATGTTTCAAATGTGTTGTAGTGAAAATATTTCAATTATTTCTACTTTGTACTTTTCTTTAACTTTGTACACTATCAGAGATAAAAATAAAAGTTTACTGCTAATTAGAAGATCTTTCTCATAAAGATTTTAAAGATAACTGCATCTAAAACTTGAATGCCATTTGAAAATAGTTTTGCTCAGTATCACAAAAATGACATTACATTAAATAACTACTGCTCATAAATACAATAAAGCATATGTTAAATAGCTTTTTTCTTTAATCACATGATCTAATGATAATATGCAAGTAAAACGAACAAAATAAAATGAAAATATATTTTTCGTCAATTTATGGTGAAATATGGAAAGTTAAATTTCTTTGCCCATTTCATAGTTGAAAGTGCTCTCCAAATCTTGACATAAATTCTAAATAACTTTATTTGACTACTATTCTTAACTTAGTATTTCTAATTTTGTTTTAAATTCATTCTAAATTAAGTGCAAAATCAAAAACATTTTTTAAGAATGACACTCAAGTAAAAGCTATTCAAACATACTTCCATAATCTAATTCCATTAGTTGAGTTCATTAAAAATTTTCATATACAGTTAAGATAACATTTTATGTTTTATTTTAACATTTTATACAACATTTTATGCTTAAAGTTAAAAGTGATACAGTTAAGATAACATATTATTAAATACTTAAACGAATCTATCGAACATAACAATATTGATATATGTAATATTAAAATATTAGTTGTTAATAAAAAAACTATTGTTAATAACTTAGAATATAAAATATTTAAGAATTAGTTATGAATTTTAGAAAATTAAAAGTCTTACATTAGTTCATATAGATTTTAAACATTGTTTAAATTTGTTATTTAGAGATGAAAGCTGAATAAAGATGAAAGACATTTGCTAATTTTTTTTAATAAATAACATGGAGTAAAATTTAATTTTAATTAGAATTTTCAAAGAATTTCTTTCTCTTAATCACGACTATATTTTAAAATTATTATAAATATTATCCATAAGGAAAGAAACATGTTTTAATGGCATAAAAATTATGAAATGAGTATAACTGATATTTCCTTCAATTTAAGCTTGAAATAAAAGTTTAATTTATAAAAAGTTTATATTTCTTCAAAATATTTGATTAATGATAAAAGCTTTATCTGCCCCTTTCAAAAATTATTCAAAGAGATTTAGTATTTTATGATAAATAAATTTTAAATTTTTTTTATATCTATGTAATGAAATTTATTTTGTAAAAAGTTGGAGTAAAGAAGGAACAAAACAATTGAAATAGCTTTACACTCGTAAATTTTACAGTTAATTTACATATTGTTTTTAAAGATTATTTTTTTCTTATAATTTTAGGACTCAACGAAAATTATATTTTATTAAAATTTCTTTTAATAGATAGTATCATAATTGAAAAAAAAAGTTGTTCTGAAAATTTTAATATTATGCTGAAAAAAACTACGGAGCTGTTCTTTAAATAACAGAAATTTGATTAAATACTAAAATTAAAATTTCATACTAATTCCTGGTAATTGATGGAAATTATAAATTGACAATTTAGTTTATTAAAAACTTTCTCAAATTGAAAGAAATTTAGATTAAGTAACATATTATTGAACAAAGTTAGATTTTATACAATAAGATTAAAAATTTAATACAAATTATAGGCACTGTAATTTAATTGGAAATGGAATTTATTTTATTTTTACAAACTGGCAAAAAATAGGTTTTCAGGGAAAGTATATGTGCATGATTAAAAAAGGGTTACTTTATGTTGTAACCGCAAAAAATTAATGAACAGTCAATAAAGCCACATATTTAAATAATTATTGTATAAAGAAAATTTAAACCAAAAGAAAAATATGTATATAATTCAAAAGTTGTAAGTTTTAATTTAAATTACTTTATTATGACATTTGCAATTCAGATTTCTCAAAATAAAATTTTAAAACATAATACAGTTTAAATTAGCATACAAAGAGTTTAAAATGTACAGATATGAGTTAAACTTAACCCTTTCGTTACCAATAAAGCTTTTATTTATTTAAAAATACTAGCAAACACAGAAATGGTTAAATAAACAAATAAATAATGAAACAATAAAGTAATGAAAGAATAAAATTCATTAATATATCTGGTAATTGATAAGGTGCATATGGCAATGGTGTTTTAAAATGAGCTTTAGACGAAGATAGAAATAACAACTAAACAATGTTAATAAATGTATTAAATAATTGTTCAAAAAAATTATTTGGAAAACTCATAGAAAGCGTATAAATGTAGAGTATGATAGCATCAGAAAAAATATAGTTCTTACATATTTAATGTGAAGTAATTGAATGGTGTTATGAACTAAGTCTGATGCAAAAGTAAAAATGTTAAAAAAAAAACCCCACTAGGAACCACTTTGAGTCTTCGCACCTTTTTTTTTATTTAAATAAAGCTTTTTCGAAATCAATCCTTTGGGTACTAAGAAAGAAATTGCAGCCAAATGTGGTACTTATGAAATTTTTACAAGAACGTATATTGTACTGGCAACGAAAGAGTGTAGGGTTATCGTTTAAATTGAACATTATAACATTAACAATATGTATAGATTTCAGCATTCATAGTCAAAAACTTAAGGAAGTTTTTTAAAACTTTTTTTTAATAAATAATACCAAAATTAAAGATATTTATAAAATATCTGTTTATGATCCACTACAAATATTAGAGCAAACAAATCTTTCTCAAGCTTAACAATATGAGTTTGTTTAGCTTTCGGCACTCATAATCAAAAATGTAAAATTTTTTTTAAAAACCATATCATGTTAAAGAAAGTCAAAATTCAAAATTAAAGATATTTTTAAAATATCTGTAATAACAGATCCAGCAAACAAATCTGCGATCTTTAAGCAAATTAACTCTCGCTCAAGCTTAACGATAACATTATGTTTAACTTTTAGCCCTTATAATAAAAAACACAAGAAAGTTTTTTTAAATCATATCTTAAAACCATATCTTACCAAAATTAAAGATATTTATAAAATATCTGTTTACAACTATTAACAAATATCAGAGCAAACAAATCTGCGCAATTTAAAGCAAGTTTGCTCAAGCTTTATCGTCTGTCATAGTTTTCTTCTTTGACATCTGATGTGGCTTGTGAGGGCTTCAGATCACATTCAAAAGTAACAACAGCACCACCATTTGCCGACTCATGATCCTCGGTTGTTTGATGCAAAAAAGAATTTGAAGAAAGCTCGCAGCCAACCGAGGCTTCATCACTATCTGGCACATCTAAAATGAATGTGTCTTTATTGTCGTCAAATGGTGAGTTCTGTTCTATGGTTGTAAGAATAGTACTGGATGAACTGGTCATGGCCGATGAATCTGGCACATGATCTTCCCTGAAAAACAAACGACTGGCAGGTTGGGAAGTTGTTTCTCTGTAGGAAGATTCTTGGTTGCTTTCTTCGAGAGGATAGGATCTGGAACCAGAATCTCCATCTAGGGAATGTCTCAAAGTGACCTTTTTCTTGACCCTTTGACTAACATCAGAATGGACCCTAGAGCAGGAAGAAACTTTTAATTCTATATTACAAAAAATGCAGATTTTTTGCCTCTCTTTTAACCCCGAAGTCAGCAAGTGAAAGGGGAAATTTTAGTCAGCAAGTGAAAGGGGAAATTTTAGTCAGCAAGTGAAAGGGGAAACTTTAGTCAGCAAGTGAAAGGGGAAATTTTAGTCAGCAAGTGAAAGGGGAAATTTTAGCCACCGATCCCAAACGTCGTTTAAAACGTTTAAATTAGATCGTTCGAGAAAAATAAAATTCAAGAAAAATACATTTTTCTTGAATTTGAAATTAAATGAATTGAGAAAAACTGAAATAGTTTAGAATTATCCATTGTTTTAAATCAGACTGCTGAAGATTATATATTTCAAATATTTTTAAGACAACATATGTGGTGCTTTCTAGTATATAGCTCTATTTATTATAAAAAGGAGTTTATTGCAGATAAACTCAAAGATCAACGTGAACATAGTAGCATATGTGGACTACGTCACTAAATTCGAATTTCGATAGCTATCTGATATCATGCATTTATTTTGTTCATGGCTACAGTATTTAAGAGTGCTTTTTTATGAAACTAGGTAATTTAAACAGTCAACGGTTATTGAATTAAAAATAAAAACAAACTGTTTACTAAGCAGTAAAATTACAGACAAAACGGTACTTTTTCGTTTCGAAGAATCGTAAAAAAACTCTCTATAGTATTATTAACCCCTATGGTGCTTAATTAATTTTGGTGACAGGTATATTATATAATGATAATAAATGTTTTATGTACCAAATATACTTATATAGGTATTTAATTTTGGTATTTCGATACCGAATATAGGTACTGTGTTATTAGGCTTAAATTTACTGATTGCTTTTCAGTTTTGTGCATAATTTTGTTTTGTTGTCAAATACTAATTTAGTGATTATTTACTTTTTTTTATATCCCGTACGAAGAACGGGTATTCAATCAATTTAATTTAAAAATTTTTTCTAAACTTAAGATGATGGTCGAGAACAAGAACCAAATGCAGTTGAACTCTTTTATAATTAGTACGTATTATGACTTACAGTATTATAACTCTAGTGTAAGATGGCTAGATTACTAAACCTTGATTCGAGGAAAAATCAGCGGAGCATCCTCAGAAAAATTTTGTAACTCAGGGCCACCCCTGTATTTATGGAAAATATTAATTTATGTTATTCCCATTCACACCCATTAATGAACTGGTAGCCTAATAAGGTGATATCAGGTGATTCCATGCACTGATATCGGGTCATTTCATTACTAGGTAGTTTAGACTAATTATATGATAATCTGTATTTGCTTGACACATGTAAGATGAATGAGTACATGGTTAATAAAATATGTTTTTTTTAAAAATTATTTTCAGACTAGTATTGAGTTTTCGTTAATTAGTTTCAGCATGGTAATTTTGATATTTCACAAGGCGGAAAGGTGGCCGAGCTGTTAGCGTGCCTGACTGCGAAGCCAATAGCTTCGGGTTCAAATCCCGATCAGGGCATGGATGTTTCTCTCTCAGTGTATTGTCTTCTGCTATGTGTGAATGTGGCCCACTCGATAAACGGGTATCTGCGGAGTGGGTAATGTTGCTCGCCTCCGTGACTTTGGTCACAAGGTGCTCACCAGGCAAAGCAAAATGAGAAACTCTTCCTTCGCCTTGAATGGCGAAGAACAATGGCGAACTTTTAGTGCCTGCCGTGAAAAAAAAATGACTGTAAATAAAAAATCTGAGTTGTTTTGATAAAGAATTCATGATTATTTGTGTATATATGTTAAGATTTGATGACATTTTCAGTCTTCAAAGTTTCTGAGGACAACTATTGAAATTCCAGGACTGTCCTCAAAATTCGAGGATATCTGGTCACCTTACTCTAGTGTGGTGACTGACTATATTCACGTATGCTCGAGTGGGATAGAGTACCAAATATTATTATCAGAATAACTGAGTAATTCCTATAGAGAGTTGGTAATTCAGACAGCATACAGTTATTTTTACCTATGAATGCTCCTAGAAAGAGATGCTTTTGAGATTGGTGAAGAGGTTTCAGGAGAGGAATGATCCATGTGAAGAATGGAACGATGTGGTTTGGGTACTGCGGACAGCACAGGAACGGGAGTTGACTGGACGTTTGGTGGTGGTGTGCAACATATGGGAGAAGACATGGACTGGGGTGTGCCTAAGTAATTTGGCACAAAGTTGCCGCGATCTTCCAAATACATTTCTATCAGCTGTTCCAGCTTGCTTTCTATTTCTTCAACCTATAAGTTAAAAAAATACAATTTAAAATTTATAGTTAGCAACACAGACAATGATTTTTGAGTGGTGTTTGGTATATTTTATGCTGTTTTCTATTAAAATATTTTTTATGTTGGTTGTCTTTAATATGAGAGTTATTTTTTATCTATCATGTTAATTGGAAATATGTAGCTACTCAATAAACTGTTTTATAAAATATGTCATAAGCTAGTTAAATACACGGCGAAAAAAATTTATGGCAAAATTACAACACTGTATGATAATGAAATTTCTGTTAAAAACACACCATAATTCTGGTATTAAAATTTAAAATATACGGTATTTAAGCATTTGTTAATTCTGTTCATGTGATAACGGTTTATAAAAAGTTATGGTTTTCAAAATTATAGTTCTTGTTACTATACATTTAGTAACAAATACAAAAAAAAACGCAATACAATAAATGTAACCAAAATACAATAAATGTAATCAAATACAATGAATACAATAAATGTAAAATACAATAAATTCCATATATTTAAAATACAATAAATACAAAAAAAATACAATAAATGTAACCAAATAAGTGGTAGCCATGTTCTAAAGTATCATGATAAAATTTTCAAATTTTCCTACGTTTTTCAAATTTTATCACATATTATAAAATCAGATTTTATTGCTAGTTTTACTAAATTATTACCAAAACACTTCGATTTTAATTGCTGAGCATTTTGGTAGAGCCAAATATACGATAAATTTTATCATATATTCTGGTAGTTTTGACCTTACATATTTTTTCAGTGTAAATAGGTATATGAAAAAGTCGATTAAGTGATTAAATCGCATATTATTAAGTATTTATAATATCATATAAAATAAGTGAAAAATTTGGCAAATGTGGGAGCTAAAAGGCCCAAGAGAACTAGAGTTAGAGGTAGGCCTAACATCAGATGGCTTGACTGTGTGGAGGAGGATTTCAAAATTTTAATTACTAACTGAAGAACAATCGGAAAGAAAATAGCAAAATGGAGGAAGGTTCTAGGGAAGACTCTGGCCCACAAAAGACTGTCATACCAATAGAAGACTAATTTAGATACTGGAAGTAATAATATTTGGACCTTAAGACATAGTAACGATAAACTGAAGCGAAGAAGTAGTGAAATATAAGAAAAACTTTAATTCAATTCAATTAATTTAATTTAAATACTTAGGTATTTGATTTAATTTAAATATATTTAGGTATTTGATTTAATTAAAATTAATTTCATTTAAATATTTAGGTATATAGTACATTACATTATATTCAACAGTATTTAGATACTGAATGTAAAAATAAAAAAATAAACATCTTGAATTAATAAAATTGAAATAAAAAAATTAATCAGGAGTAATATATGTCCCATTCTATGGTGCATTTTTATTAATGATGAGATAATGCATCATTCTATGGTACATTATCTCACAAGCAAATTCATCAACACAGTTTAACTTTTTAAGCAGTTTCATATCGTTTTTAAGTGATTTCTAAAACTTTCTTTTCATTTAAAATTAAAAAAAAATAGCCTTGCAGAATCACATATTTTTTACTAAAAATTATATTTTAATTATAATAGTCAGGAGTCCTAAAATCTGTAAAATTGTAAAATTTTTAATGAATAAAAATCCTTATTTTTTATCCATTTTAATGGGCTTTTTAGGCTGTAAAATACTAAGTAATTTTTGGTTTCTCGAGGTTAGGTAATAAACTGATAATAATAGAAAATAATAAAAATAAATGGTTTTATATCCCATCCATCAAAGTATATTCATATCTTCAATAAATCATACCTTCATAATCCAATATAATATGGTCACCATTATTTAATTTCATTAAAGGCTGTGTTTGAAAATTCTTTATGTTGTTTTTTAGGAAAATATTCTTTTTCTTCATTTTCAACTTTTAATATTACAACTGCACAATCACCAAATTTCGTATTTATTTTTCTCAATGATATCAGATCATATATCCTAGGTGTCAAGTCTTTCACTATTAGCTTCCGGGTGTTTTTTTTCTTTCTGAAACTATTGAATTCTTCCATTTATTAGAGAACAATTTTCAGAACATATAATAACCGAAATATTTTACTTTCTATAAATAAACAAAATTGAGGAATAGAGAAATTAAAAATTGAAAGAGCAATTACAAAATGATACTGAGTTTTAAATTAGAATCTGAAATTAGGAATATCACTAGAAGAGATATTGTAATATAAAAATCATTGGTTGGACTTCATGAACCTATGCTCAATCTGATGGAAAAACTAGAACGTTTGCAGGGTATAAATGATACTTTTGATGATTTAGCTTTAACCATGGATGATTTTTCTTTTAAAACTTCTTTTAGATAGAGAATCTGACAGATAAAGAACTTTATGCTGAAGACGCTAGAAGTATGTTTTTAAAAATATTGACAGAGATCTAGATAAAACTATGCTAAAAGGATTGGAATTTAAATTACCTTCAATAATGTGGAACAAAACTGATAAAGAATTAGTTCTTAATAGGGCAAAAGGATACAGAGCTACATTTAAAAGAAAGAACTAAAAGTTAAAAAAAAATTGCAATCAAAGAAAAGAAAGATTACTAGGAATTTTTTTTTGTTCTCTATTCTATGATATTTTTTATAACAGATCTTAAATACTTTCGTATCTCTGATTTCAAATCTGAGTTCGATTTCTCTCTCCCAGCTACTGTATTTTTTTAAATGACATTTTTAGTGCATTTTTTTGTTGAAATGTACAAATTTAGAAACATTATATAAAACAAGGGGGTTTACTTGGTGTAAAGTAGCCATCATCAACTACCATGTTTGAACATTAGTAACTCTAAAATTTATAATTATAGGAAGATATGATACATATAAAAATCAGTTAAGTTATTTTTACTAAACAATATAAAGTAAGAATCAGTAATTAAGGTTGAATATATGCACTAATTCCTAAAATAAAATTAGTTTTTAAATCTAACATACGCGTATCAGAAAGAATATTACGATGAATTCGAACTAGGGTTAACAAAGAGCAAGCTGATAAAAATTATACATTATAAAATTATTTAATACAGTTTACGGAGATTTAAAAATTAAAATGCAACTAAAACATACCTACATATTTTTAACGAAAAAATTTAGTTTCTGTAGATGAAAAGCAACTCTGTAGGCAAACGCAAACACTTGCCAACTCGTTATTAATTGTGAGCAATTATTGGCGAAATCGAAACACGCCGATGCTCTCAGAATTATTGATTACATTTAACATAAGGTGTTAAAGAGAGTGGTCTTGATGTAAACGTTTTGCATTTTCAGTGTTTAGAGCATTCATACACCCTTCAAATGGTATATGAAAGCTCTATTTGGTGTTGACTTGAAGAAAAAAAGTGTTCCTCCATTAAATATTTTGGGTTTCCAATATTAAATTCGGAGAAATATTACACCACAGTTTTTACAATGTAGGCAAATATGATAGCCCTATATTACAATGAAAAATATTAAGATAGCTGCAAGAAAAAAGAAAAATATTGGGATATTAATTTGTTTAAAACTTACAGAGCGTTCAACTTTCACAATGCGGCACGCTAAGCTCACTTTTGATTCATAGACATCTTTGCCTTTCGAACCAGCTTTGCCTAGAATTTGATCCAACCTATAAAGGAAGCATTTTCGTACAAAATGTGTTTTATTTATAAGTTATTTAAGAGAGATATTATTTAATGACTACAAAAATATTTCAGAGCGTTATTTAAAAATAAAATGCAATGGAAAAATTTAAAAAAATACTTCATTTCTTAAAAAAGTATATTTTACTTAAAAAAATTAATAAAAATTTGATATCTGCTCGAAAAAAATGATTCAAGTTATATGTTTGTTATTGGAGAGTTAGTGTGTTTTGTATTTTAGTGAGAACTGCACTTTTATAAAAACTTTAGTTAATAGTATTTAATATTATTTGAGAAATGTTTTTGATAGTTGAAAAAACTGAAATTAGAGACTTTTTACTCAGTTAAAGCAAATCAAAACAACCTTGTAAGAGTTATTCTTTGACATCAAATTAATTGCTTGTGCATTTCACTTGTTTAAATATTATACGAGTTTTGTAGGAAAAGTTGTGTTTTTTTATTATTTGCAATTGCTTTTGAATAGAAGCAGCTTTTGATGTTTTGATGAAAGAAGCAGCTTTTGATGTTTTAAAACATTTCAATTTCAGAAAATTAACCTTGTTTATGATAAAACACAATTTAATAATCAAAAATTGAATTACAATTAACAATTTAAAGGTAAGAAATGGAGTGAAGATCCAACACTGAAAAAGAAAAGAAAAAAAACATTAATTTAAACAGAACAAATTTGAATATTATTTTAGAGGACCTTTTCCTAAGTGTTACTATTAGCTGTAAATTATTTTTTTTAACTTAATTTACAATTATTTAATTATTTCAATTTGTTAATAAAAATTACTCAGTTATCGTTTTCTCACGTTTATTACAAATTTTAATTATTAATTATTTAAATTTTCAACACATAATTATGCTGTCTAACAATTTATCAATTATTTAAAAGAACATTTATTTAATAATTTTAAAATTTCTTTTTAATTTATTTCTCATTTTCGGTTTCTTTTTGAAATTTAATCTTTCACATATTAATTATTTGTTTGATTATTTTGATTTTTATTCCTTAAATTATTCAACTATTTAAAATTTTAGTTGTTAATGCATTTAACTGTTTATTTATTTGATTGAAAAATATTAACTAAATGTATAAACAAGTGATTTTACCGGCATTGTAGACTTTTGACTCGGCCAAGTAAATCAACATGGCCTTGAGAGTACTGTTCTATAACATCTTTGACATCATATGGTTTGAGTGCTTCTTTGAATTTTCTTCTCGCAACAAAATATTTGATCTACAGAATTAAAAAACAATTACTCACGATTTGCAAAATCTAAAAAGAATATTCAGCAGAAAGATGGGCTGAAAGTGTCGAAGTATCTCAAATAGTTTAGTCATAAAGTTGTCAACTATCGGCATCAAGAAGCATGCTAAGAACAATGATTTGACATCTTTTGCTTCCTCGATGATTCATGGTGGCAAAATTAAATTTAACCCAGATAGCAGTGGAAGGTAAGTTGATTTTAATGTAAACAACAACCTTTATCAACAAGGTTCATAGATGATTAGCAAATAAACCACCGAAAGCTTGAAACAATGTTAAACTTAGATACCTTATTTACACGATACGAGATTCGGGTTAAGCTTGCATAAACAACTCTTTTACATCTAGATTAAATCTACTTCTGAAACAAGGCTAGAAAAATCTTCTAAAATTGAGTATGAATTATCAAGAATACAAATCAAGAATCGAAAGTGTTCTCATAATAAATTCACCTTTTCAAGGTTTATTTTAGATTTTATGACCATCACTGAAAAAAGGTTTATTTGAGAGATTTTAATATATTTTCTTTAACACTCTCATTCTAAAAGTGAAGGTTAGCCGAATTATTAAGTTTTGAACACAAGCAAAAAGTTTCATTTGAGAGCTTGGACAAAGCTCGAACGAAAAATAGATGAAGCCAAGGTTTATAGTACCTCTAAATAAAAGCTAAAAAATGAGATTTTTCTGTAAAAAATGATGATTTTTTCATGCCTTTATTCAATCTTTAAGGAAACATATTAATACACTATCTACCAATAAGTATTTGGACACTTAAGCAAATAACTATATCTGCGGTCCTGAGATACGTCACGCCCTCCGCCGGTATATATCGTGTAGTGAACAACATCGGCATTAGTCCTATTGCAAGATGCCTACTGCACAATTTTGGATGACAATGTGCTTCCTACGTTGTGGCAGTCTTAAGGGATGGGCCCCTGGTACTTCCAGGACGACAATGCCAGCTGTCATGCTGCGAGGGTCACCAAGGCTTGGTATGGTGCCGATGGGGTTAATCGAAAGGACTGGCCTGCCCAGAGTCCAGACCTGAACCCTTTCGAGAATCTCTGGGACGAGTTAGATCGCCGAATTAAGGGGTGTACTACCCGTCCAAAATCAGTGAAGGAACTTACATGTCTTTTCCAAGACGAGTGGAAGAAAATACCACTAGCCGTCACACAAGGACTTGTGGAAATTATGCCCCGGAGGCTTCACGCTGTAATTGCCTCTCTTGGAGGCTCTGCCAACTATTGATTATGAATAAAGTTCGTTTTTCTTTTCAATCACAGGTGTCCAAATACTTATTGGTAGATAGTGTATTTCTAATATATATAAAAAAATGATTAAATGGTCAACCTGTTACCAAGGAAAATGCTTAAAATTCAGAAATTTGTTAACCACCTTGCAATAGCTCTTGAAAGTTACCATTTCTTAACAATGATATCTGTATAAAATTTAAGAATTATAACTAATATATTTTGCTTCCTCAACGACACCGAAGTTAGTGTATTAAACTATTGTATTTGGATTGCAATAAAATGATATAAGTGAGGATCCCAGTGGTAGCTGGTGGATACGGACTTCGCTCCTTGCTCCGACTGACCACAGTGTTGTCGTATAATATCTTCTTCTTCTTAGTCAGCGCAACAGCCCCTTGCAGGCCTTGGCTGCCTCAACAGCTGACAAGCGCCAGTGCCTCCTTTCCATGGCAACTCCCTTCCAATTTCTAATCTTTAGGGTTTTCAAATCATTTTCGATGTCGTTGAGCCACTTAGTAGGAGGTCTGCCTCTGGGACATGACCCCTCGGGGTTCTGAAAGGTGACTATTCTCATGGTGCTATTTTCAGGGCTTCTCCATAGATGGCCCATCCATCTCAGCCTATTACTGCGAATGTCGTATAATATCCCCAGTGGAATTATGGGTCAGAATCCCCTTGCCATCGATATAACCGTGGGAGGTATTTGTGCGTTTCCTCTTCGTGTAAAGCAAATGCGGATTAGTTCCCTCAAATAGTCCCCTACATAGGCTAGTTTGTCAAAGTGTTTGACCAAGGAGTGCCCTTGTTTTCTGGATTGAGTTCAAAATAAAAAGGCTATTGAGTTGAGCATTGATAGTTGTAAACTCAGAATTGCGACGGCTTTTCGATGCCGAATGTAAAATAAAATGTTTTAAGATACTTTGACTTTTTCAGCTTTATCAGCAAGCAAAAGAAAACGTTAATATATTTTTAAAATTATTATAAAATCCAACCTTTCTTAAGGCTCTGATGGCATTCTTATGTTGTTTTGTAAGTGATGTTAGTCTTGGTTCTTCAATTTCTTCTTCTGTAAAGTAACAGTATTATAATGATTTAAACACTTATGTCATAAACAAATATATTTTAGTTCAGATAAGGTGTTTTATTTTGATAACTGCTTTCATGCTTAAAATTTTTTAAATGATGCATTTCTTAGAGTTCATTTACTGTCATTATCATTAGAGAAAATACCGTTTCGAAAAACCAAACGCTACATGATTGGAATAAGAATAATGAAAAGCTTTATGAAGTTTTAGATTATAAAAAACCAAATGAAAATAAACAATTTCAAAGAAAATATTAATACTGAGTGATTAAAAGTTAAAATTAACACTATGTTGTATTTTAGTATTTCCCTATTTTAGTGAGTCAAGCAGATGGTTTTTACTACAATATAGACACTTATAACTAGTACCAGAATTTTTAATTTGTAGGAAAAAAAAGGGTACAATAGAAATAACAATTTTTTTTTTTCACAACCAGAAGAAATTGAGGAAAAAACACTTCAGAAATTTTACTTGATTAGAAACTTAATTCACCTCAAAAATATACAAATTGGAAACTGGAACTTCAAAAATTTGCCTTTGGTTTATTAGTACTGGCTGATTGTTCTTTAAATTGATGATAGTATTGTCTCTATAAATTTACTTAAATAAGAATCTGAAATGTAAATTTTTAAATGCAAGTATTTAAAAATTTTCTAAGAAAAATTACAAGCAGTTGCACATTGTAAAACGTAAGAAAAACTATAAAAATGTTTTTTTTTCTTTTTTTTAAAAGTAATATTAAAACAGAATATTTATGAAACAAAACAAATCACATAGTTTGTGTACTTAAAATGATAAAATAAAGATAAAAATAAGAGTAAAATTATTTAGCAATTGAAGCTTATAGTTTTGGAATTCTACAGCTACTATTGTGCAAGGATTATAAACTACTATTTTTATAAAACAAGCAGTGTATAATATATCGAGCATAAAACTTGTAATCTAGTTTTCTAAGACTAATAAAATCTTCTATTCTAGAAGTCTACTATCTCAGTAATGGCATGCAGATGATGCACTGATTTATAACAAAATTTATGTGCATAAGGATAATTTATTTGCAATTTATTTTGCAAACAAAAAATTATTGGAGAGAATTAGTTGCACCATTTCACATTCTCTCAAGTTTACGTTCTGAAGAAAATGAGCATGCGCACTTTGAAGAATTTGAGTATTGAGCATGCGCAGTTACTGCGTAAGTTGACATGAGAAAGGAAACAGAATTTTTAATTCCCTCTATTTATTTAATATAAAATCTAAAGCAGTTGTGGACTGTTGTAATATTGCTTTAAAATATAAATAAAAACTTAGAGTTATTAAAATTTTATTATATTTGATTGACGAGTCATTTGATGCCAAAAACTATTGAGTATTTTTTAAAATTACTTTTCTAAACTTAAAATTTCAGAATTGAAAATTGTTAGATATTTGTAGCAATTTTTTTAAAAAGTGTATATTGCAGACTAATGAAAATTATTTTCTATCAAAATGAGCAATATTTTTCTCATATGAAACCATAAAAACTTCAAGGACAACTAAAAATATACTCACAGAGCGTTTAGAGTAATTAAAGTATGTTTAAATTCTGACACTATTCCTTAAAGGAGTGTCTCTAAAATCACAAAACTGATAGTAAATGCAGCAAACATAAATGCAATTACATTATATGATAACATAAATGCATTGTTTAAATGAAGACAATATGTTTTCAAACTGTAGAGTCATTTTACATTTGCGTCATGCGAACTTACAAATACTCAAATTGCATTTAATGAACACACGTGTCATAAGAGCTGAAATCTATATAATAATAGCAACGTAAAATGCTTTATCTCAGTAAACTATTAAATTTACGTAATTAGTGTTTTAAAAAATAGTAAATCTTTGTGATTGTTAGTTGTTTCATTAAAATGAAATAAACATGAAGTAATTTTTGGGTACACATTTTAGAATTTAAGCTTTGTCTTGAATTGAGATCAAATAAATTCTATACTCAATAATTTTGACCATGGTAAGGTAAAATTAGTGTGAAGTGTTCAAAATAGCATAGATGATATGAGATTCAAAATAAGTGAAAAATAAATTGATTACCATGATACACTGGAGTTACTTATGTTGTTTAAAGTGTTTTAAACAATAAAATTTTAGCTCTTATAAGCATTAAAACTTTTATAATTGTTTTTGCAGTCTTTTGACAACTTCGTAACCACCAACGTTGACACTATTTGCTAAAACAATTGTCCAGTAAAAGTGTACTAAACCTTAACTTTTTCCGAATTCTCATGGGTTTTTTCGAAACTTAATATAATTGCAGTAATTTCATGTTAATAGAAGAACGAATTTTTAAAGATAATATTTTAAACTTTAGAGACCAGACTGCTTGAAATTCTCATGCCGAAATGATTTCTTGAAAAAAAATAAAATAATGAGTAGTGGTCACAAATTCGTTTCATTCAATCGGTTTTCATTCAATCGATTTTCATTTTCGCCATTACCACCATGTGTTTCTGTTTGAAATTGTTCTCAAAATGAAATATAGAGGGTGCACAAAACCACGTGACTCTTTTTATTTTTATGTTTTATATAATTATCTAGTTTAGCCCTCCTAGTGTCTGTCTCAATAAATTTGTGTTGCTAAAACTTAAAAATTATTGTTTCCCCGTGAAGGAATCCTTTTATACCATGGGAGTCATATATTTAAAAGTAGCCTTATTTTTCTGCTCACATTTTTTCAATACTTAAGATTAATATGATTTGTTCCCTGAACTGAACAAAATAAAAATATCTGGGTGTTTCAAGCCGTTTGTGGCCCTTTACCAATTCATTTTTATTTTTTCGGTCTGTAAGTTCGATTAGGAGGGGTGAATGTAAATGAAGTAATAAGATTTGCTTATCTGATCTTTTGTGTTTACATCTTTGAAGTGTAAATTTTTATGGTAATCAATCAAAAATATTTTTAATAAAGTTTATTAAAAAAAGAACCAAATATCCAGGAATAATTTTTGTCACCACAGTGAAAATCTCGTTTTTTTCTCTCACGAAAATTATACTTGAAAAGAATGCGACCTTCATACCAACGAAGAAAAAATCACTATGTTATGTGCGGCTATGTTTAAAAGGAGTGAAATATTTACTAAATTACTATGAAATTAAAAAAAACCTATGCATTTTAAGGGATTGCAAAATTAAAGTGTTATTTAAATTGATTGAGGTATACATTGAACTTAATGGTTCTGTTTTAACAGCAATTTTTTTCAATACTAAGCTATAATTTAAAAATGTCATAGCAATAATTACAAGAAAGTTCTAAATCTACAATTTTTATTATTCAGAAATAATGAAATTGCGTGGTGCTTTAAAATGAAGTAAAGTGCATGTAGGTAAATTATAACTGCATAACCTTTAGTAAGAGCCTTTTTATTTGTTGTTTATATCTTACCAATACAATGTGGGGCTTTTCGAACTTTCCGGATGATAATTTCACACCAGGTTTTTCGGGCATCAACTGAGCCAAGAAAAAATTTTATCAAGTCACATACTCATACAATATTTTTATTTTATTGGATATAGTCAAATGTCATTTAGTATTTCAAACTCTGTTTGTAAAAACTGTTTTTAAAACAAATTTAAGATGTATATAAATTCTTTTTAATTGATAGAAACTGAAGAATGAATGATTAGTTGTCATATTTTACGCTTTTCACAGAATAGAGAGTTCGAACATAAATCTTGCTGCTATAAGAAAGATTTTCCTCAAAAAGAGTAAAATATGACAACTTTTCCAAAATAAGAATAAATTTTGCTAGTAAGCGAATTTTTGAGTAGTTGACCAATGTTCTTCTTTAATTGTTACATAAAAGATGAAGAAAAAATATGGAAATCTTAAAAAATAAATAAATGATGGAATAAAAAAAATACAATGTGGGTTGAATTAAAGTCAATGAAAATATCATCTGGGAACAAAAAAAAGAAAATGTAGGCCAAGTTTGATGAAGGTCTCCAAATCAAATAAAGTTGACACTTTAGAAAACATGCTAAGGATTGGAACTAAGATGTATAGTTTAATAGCACTAGAGCTAGATACAAATGTTATAATCGGATATATTAAATGTATAGAAAACTTACCGACGATTTAAAAAAAAATCATTCAAAGAGAAATAGTCGGCTTTCTGCATTCGACTTAAATCAGAAATTTTTCTCACTAAGATACGGTGATTACGAAACTTTTTGACAGAGTGCGCATGGATGCAAAGTATTAAATACGATTGCTTTGTTTTTAAAGCATTCTTGCATTAAAGCATTTTCCAATTCGAAGCAATTCAATTGTCAAAATTCAAATGGACAAACTTTTGTTTGTTTCGTCTTTAATATGCGCTGTTTTGTGCTGTATACAGTGGTTATTTGGAAAGCTTTTCTAATAGTTTTTTTTCAGTTAGAAGTACCTTCCGTTGTTGTATTAACTTATTAAGCAGCATAAATAAGTCAATCCCTTTTTGAATTTTTAAATCGTTGGACATTTTTCAAACACCCGGTGAATCGATATTTACTCAGTATAATTAAATTAACCTATGTTATAAACTAGATCCTTATTTTTCTAGCAAAAATTTAATTTTTGCAGGTAAAGTAGGATATCATGACCGTTAACGAGAACATAACTTCAGAAATTAGACTTTTTTAAAATTATTCTAAGAAGTTAACGGGGTGTATAGCATTTGAATTACGTCCTAGGTCAAATATCCAGAAAGCAGAATGTTTAAAAAAATAATTAATTACAAGTAAGAATTAAAATAGTAATTGATCTGTTATCGTATTTAATTAGGTTTCAGTTTAATTTATTTTATTTCATAATTTAAAAATACATTAAAGATTTTGATCACAAACAATCATGATCTACACTTAAAAGCAATTGTTATATATGATAAAAAGTAATTTTAATATACAATTATAAGTAATCGCGTGTACTTAAGTTAGATAGAAAAAACATTTATAATCGATACACAAGATTACAATTAGTTATTGTTGTGATTAAAACTAATCATTAGCAAGAGTTCATTATTATCATGGTAACGAAGTTACATTTTTTATGCCATTATCTTTGTATTTCTGACAATTAAGGAAAAAGCAAGATATTTTTATACTCCCTCCGTCCCAAATTAGTTGCTAGATTTTAAGTATGTTGAGTCATAAATAATTTCGGATGCAGTTTAGTAGATCGACACCAGTGAAATGATGCAACTAATGAATTCACGATTCATTAGCTGGAAGATAGTTCTAAGCGATTACTGGTGGAAGAGCCCTTACCAAATGTTGCGTGCAAAACCTGGATTTTTGAATTTATTTTAGTACTGATTTAAGAAGAGAGGAGGGAATGCTTGGTAAGTAAATGTTATTGATTGAAAGCATAGGACCCTGAAATATCTGAAAAATGTTCAAGCAAAATCATAAAATCATCTGTATCAATAATCATTACAAAAATACTCAAATGTTGCAACTTTAAATAAAGGAAAACAGCTTCAGACACTAACAAACAGCTTCAGACAAAAATATTCAAATGATGCAACTTCAAATAAGGGAAAACAGCTTCAGACACTTACTTAAAATTTTTTATCTTATTGAAATTTTCAGACTATGTTTTTCGTGTAAAATTATTGGGAACATAATTTTTTTTTTATTTTTAGGAAAACATATAATATTTTTTGGGTCAAAACTTAAGGTCCTTTGGAGTTTTGAGTAAACAAATTTTTATTTACATGCTGTGCTACTTTTTGTAAAATAAGTGAACCATGATATTGACCCTTATTTTGTGTTCTACGACTTTCACAGTAACTATTAACACATTGCTGATCGGTCACGAGTTAACTCGTGTTTTCGTGGCCAAGCGCTGGTGACCGGTCACGAGTTAACTCGTGTTTTCGTTAGCAGTGATCTCGTGGTGACTATTTTAAAAAGTGGATGTAATTTTCCTTACTTTTCAAGTTTTACTATTTAATTCTTTACCAATTTATTATAACTTTACGAAACGTTATATATTTGCAAAACTTTCAGGGTGCACCATTACACGTAGGTGATTGTTATATTTTTTATTATACAGCATTAAAAATTAAAAGTTTTTAAAGTTTATTTATATTGTTTTACTTCCATATTCGCTTTCAAAATAATATCCGGGCACATGGGGGTAATTTTCAGAAAAGTTGCCGGTCAGCAATGTGTTAAGACATAAATACTTCCGGAGGACCTGAGCTTCGAAGGTTAACAGTCATTCAAAAATTTTCGAAGTAAAACTATTTTTTTCTTAGATTTGGATAGAAAAATCTATTTGGGCCAACAGTGAACCATAAAGGTATATATTTCTGTGAATACGTACTTAGGAATAGTACCTAAAAAAATCAAGATATGTGTGGTGTACAGTTGGCTTGACTTTATAATTGCAAGAAATTTAAATTTTACAAAACTTTCAAGGTCGTGAACTGCCTTTATAAATTATAGTCAAGTGTGATGAAATTTGCTGAAAAAGATGTTTTAAGTATAGAAGAAACAAAATCAATTCATAGATCTCTAGTAACTGATTCAACTTTTATTTAATAAGGTCTTAAGCTTTGAGGCCAGTACCTGAATAATTGATTATAGAAATAGTTATGAAAAAGCTCTAGATTTTTTTTAAGAAATGTGATTTAGTTTCAATACAAATATCTGAAGTTAACACCTTCCCCATAACAAGTGGGCATGAGCCTCTATCTAGAAATAACAGAGCAGAGAGGGGTCAACCGTGGGCAAAACATACTCTCTGCTATAGTGCGGCTTTGAGGAGAACTCCTCGAGACTGAAAGTCTGGGGCTGTCTGCTGCTACGGTAACAAGCGAGAGCACATTTCTAATGGGGGTGAAATGGAGGAAAGAAGGCGTCGATTGGTTTACTTACGACGACCTATGCTAAGATTACGACAAAACTAGTCACCCCACACCCCTATTCGAAATGACATTTCCTCGTTACCATAGTACCCGCCACGACGCTAGACGGATGTCTGGAGTTCTCCTGAAAGTCGCACTATATCTAGACAAGTTATATAATGTTTCCGAAGTAATTTTTTACGCTAAATAGAACGAAATAACACCTAAGTCTAATGAAGAAGTTATTTAAAATTCATATAGAAAGAAAGAGAATTCTACGCATACGTGATATAGTGTCGGACATTGTTATCCAAGCAAGTGACATATTTATCCAAATGTTTTATTAAGCAATCCATAGGAACACTTCAGATTAGTAATAGTTAAATAGTTTTAATTAGGTTAGTACAAAAAATTCGTAACTGTATTTCTTATACACAAATTTTTATGGGCTCTGGCTCTTTACCACAATAGCATTTCATAATCTCCATCATGATTAATCAGAAAGAGTAAGTACATTGATTAAATTTTTAATATATTGAACAAGTAAAAATATTACTTTTATTTATAGTTTGGGATAAATTATATTTTGCTAAATTCTGATATAATGTAATATTAGATTTGCGCGGTACACCTTTTATTCGATACCGAGTTTCCAGGTATTTTTTCTTAACTAGAAAGAATTTAAACTTCAGTCCGATGAAGTGTAAGGCACATTTTTACTCCCAAAATAAATAAATTAAATAAACACTAATTAAAATTTTTGAAGAGAGTGACCATTTAAATCAAGTCATTCATAAAAATTTTCCAAATGAAACGTGAACAAACATGATCACGCCAGAAACGCAGTAGCGCTAAAGTATCACCATAGTCAATGGCTATAAAGAGTAATGCAAGAAGATTGCACTGAAAATTACTTATACGATTAACCAAAACCCATGTGAACATTCAAATTAAATATATAATCGTGTTAAGTTCGATGTACAAAAAACAGAGCTACACACTGTTGTCAGGTTTTTTTTAAAGTAACATTTTCACTGAAATACAGAACTTTTATTAATGCGAAAATTTAACGTCGAATGTTTGCTTTTCATGGCAAACATTCCTGTACGAACTGCGATTTATCTGTATGAATTTTCTCGTATGAACTGCACTGAACAAAAATGGCGTAAGAGATTTCGTAAACGGCGTAAGCATCAATATCGGATCTGACGAGACCCAGGTCAAGCGCGAAGATTTCTTAGCTGACGTAGCTTTTTAGCTACGTCAACTAAGAAGACATGATTGCTCTCTGACTAACTGAAGAACTCCACCGTTTAGGTTATTAAAGCACTGTCGGGGACTATGAATACAGTTTTAAAGAATCTCTTGTAGGAGTGCGAGGTAGTACTGGTTCTGACTCAGGTAGAGAAGATAAATATCGAATTTTCTAGATAAATATCGAATGAAATGAGATTTTTCTTGTTTCCATCGCATCAGACAGTTCTCTGTTTTTATTTTATTTAGACAGAAAGTTGTAGTGATTACGACATTAGTACAGGTGCTTATCTGAGTAAAAAAACAGCCCAATCCCGTTTTAAGCGTTATTCTGCTTTATGTGCATCCTTGCATTACTATATATCCCATTTATGCTCTCATGTGAATTAGTTAATCAGTTTTACATAGATTGTAGTGTATACCTTCCACTTTCCTTTATAACCATTAATAGTGGTTAAAAAAGAATTCAATAATTTATGGTCAGTAATTTCATCATTCAGTCAGTTCTCTGCTTTGGATATTGTATTTTTAATTCTAATTTGTTGTAGTTTTAGTTTTAGTTATATTCATTTTTATTAATATCATATTTTTTAAAGTGAAAATGCACGGACCGTAGTTGGTAAGAGTTCTAAAGAATGAAGTAAAATTTTTTAATAATTTTGGTTGTTTGGAGTAGTTGTTTTTTAATTAATTCATAACTTCTAAAATGTAACTAATATCTTGCGTAATCATATATATTTTAGACTATTTTTTACTTTTTTTTTTGAATCAAGCAGTCTATATATATGTATTTCTTACGTCATTCCAAAAAATACATGCAGTGAAATGAATAATTTCTCTGCGAATTCCAGCCATTTAAACTGCTATGTTGGACATAAAATTATAAATTTTAAAATTAAAAACTGATAATGTAGCTGTATATTGATAAATATTTACTGATTTCGTGAGATTTTGTCCGGAATTTTAGGTAAATCCCGTTCTTAAATATAAATTTTATTCAACAACCAGAAAAAAGCTGTTAATTGCGTTGTAAAATATAAAAGACTCTTAAAAGAAATTTCTTTTTCTGGCCTAGTGTCAAGTAAAATAAATATAAATGAGGTATTACCATCAGAATTTCGTTTGGAAGTTTCTGAAAAATCTTTGGAAACCGAATCTTCGGACACGCTGGGTCGTATCCGGCCACTGAGGTTATCAGATGAAGTAGTGATGTCACCGCATCTGCTTCTCGTCATTGGAGAATGATTGAAAGGAGGGCGATGACGTCTGATGGTGGAAAGTCGTGTCACGAATGACGTATTGTGTTTGAAACTAAAATATAAGGTAGAGAATGAATAATTTAGGAAACCATGAAATATCTTTATGTAATGCCTATATTTGATGCTTTAACAGATTTTTTTAAATAAAAGTTTTAACAACGACCTTTTTGTAAAATATTTAAACTAAATTAAAAATCAAACTTATTTTAAAATTTTACTTTAGCACACGTTGAATGAAATTTTGATTTAGATTCTACTGATAAAATGTATGTTAATGTCATGTTAATTTGTGAGGTAAAGGCTTGGAGGAAAAATCTTGAGAAGAACAGAGCCTACTCTGGGCTGTAATGCCACTGAAGAAGAAGAAGACATATTAATTTAAATTTAATCTGATGTATGAAATATGACATTCTAAAGTCAACCGGAAAGTTATGAAATATTCAATATTTTTTACTTCTGACCAATTTTTTATGGAGTCAATTAGAAATAGGAATTAGAAAATCAAATTTAGGAAAATGATTTGAAATTTAAATTTAATAGCTGAATGTTTCAAGTGCTCCACTTGAAACATGCTACTAGTTATTTAGAAATATGAATCGAAAAATCGAATTTAGGAAAATATTTGAAACATAAATTTAATAGGAGCTGATATAGGAGCTGAACATGAAACAAATATTTAGAAAGTTATTTTCCTCTGCAAAGTATTCTGCTCGATAGAGAGATGATTTCTAATGAAAAACTCATTTCTTCAATAAATTGTGAATGTATCATAGCGTTAATGAAAATTTTATGTGGACAGACTTATTTTTAATTAAAGTCTGTTTTTGTTCCAATAAAAGCCCTCAGCTATAAATTTTTATTCCAGGAACTTGAAAGAATGCTTTTCGTACTACATAGAAATATTAGTAACATTTATCAAAGTATATACTAATAATAACAAAAATACATTAACTGCTTCAAACTCTTAAATAGGAAAGTAGTATACGGGTAAAAGTTTTCTGTAGAACTCAAAGATATATTCATGCAAATTAAGGAATAAAATGTAAAAAAAAGAAGGAACACGAATAGGTGATGATAAAATTCAGAATTTATCTTAATGCAGAAAAAAGTAACTTGTTATGAAAGCAAAGAGAGAGAGAGAGAGAGAGAGAGAGAGAGAGAGAGAGAGAGAGAGAGAGAGAGAGAGAGAGAGAGAGAGAGAGAGAGAGAGAGAGAGAGAGAGAGAGAGAGAGAGAGAGAGAGAGAGAGAGAGAGAGAGAGAGAGAGAGAGAGAGAGAGAGAGAGAGAGAGAGAGAGAGAGAGAGAGAGAGAGAGAGAGAGAGAGAGAGAGAGAGAGAGAGAGAGAGAGAGAGAGAGAGAGAGAGAGAGAGAGAGAGAGAGAGAGAGAGAGAGAGAGCGAGTGAGAGGGAGAGAGAGAGGGAGAGAAAGAGAGAGAGAAAGAGAGAGAGCAAGAGAGTAATCACATTAACATTTCTAAGACAGTTAAAAAATATATAAAGTTGATATAATATATACAGGTTGATTATAAAATAAATCGACATGTTTAGAGCTATATTATCAAATAATATTTGGTATAAAATGTTTTTATTATCTCGCACTATTATGAATACAGCATTATGGTGAACAACTAACAAATGACAAAATGTCTCAATTGGATTTCAAATAAATAAAACAAATTTCAGGAAATATAGTGCCTAAGAAATATTTTTCAATGTAATTTTTCAAATTCATTTTTTTGGAAATGTGACATTCTTTCGAAATATTTCCTTCATGCTTCAGAAATATTTTAGTAATGATTTGAGAGAAGTTTTAAGTTACATTTCAAGAACTAAATAAAAACGATTCTGACAATTTCTTAAAATTTTTGGAACTAATGATTTTGTCAAAACCTTACTTATTTATTATAGATTTTAAATTTAAAACTTTTGAGTTGTATTAGAAAAAATTAATTACAATAAACAATTTTACTGAGGGAGAATTATAATTAATATTTTATTATAAGATGAAATATTTTCAGTGTTAATATTTTTTTCGTCTTTTTTTGGTAGTTAACATAGAGTTATTTAAATTTAATAAAAATGTTCATTGCTTTTAAGTGTACAATTTAAATGCAAAAGTTTATATCGAAATTCAAGTTCCCTGTACATCGAAATAAAATTTTAGGTAAAGTAACAAAGCTTACAAAAGTTAGATACAAAAACGATTTATAAGCCTCTAAAAACGTTTTATTTGGTTTCTTAAGATATTGGAACATACACTCGTAATCATTGTAAAATATTTCTGGCATAATTTACATAAGATTTTAAAAATATTTCATTATCTAATCAAAATGAATCTTTTAAAAAGTTACGTTTCAGAAACATTTTTTAAACTGCAAGAGTTTTGAACGTAATTGCGACATTTTATGCTGACTGGGATATCATTCCCTGACGTCATTGTTTCATGTTTTAATGGAAACCTATCCAGTTTTATCCCGACAGCTAGATACGAAAAGTTACTAAAGTTTACTGAACAGGAGAGCAGGAAAACAAGATTTTTTTAAAATCTATTTCAGGATTACCATGGGTCCCTGAGAAGTTTAATAGTGGTAAAGAAAAAGAGGCAAACTGCTATCATTTGATAAAGTTGTGGCCTGCTCCATATGTTGTTTAGGTGTAATTATCCTTGTTCTACATGCTTTGCTATTTAATTTGCTACCAAATTATTAAAAATCTTGCATCAAAAGGAACAGTTGGCATCCCTACTCAGTCAAATCTAGAACCACTAAAAGAAGTGGTCACCAAACTTTAAGACGAAAGCATTTAACTCTAAGAGAGGTATGTAATTTGTAGATGTTAGTGTTGCCACTAAGAAGACGACTTGCTACGCTTTATTAAAAAAATTATTCTAGTGATAGCAAAAGAGATGATTCAACAATTTGTTCTGTTTAAGCAAATTTAATTTACTTAACACTATATAAAAATAATTTAAATTGATATAAAAAATTCCACTACAATATCCTTACGCCATAAGCCACCTATTGCTCTGCAGCAAATTTCAATGAAATATTCCTGTATGAAAATGTAACTGAAAACAAATAGAAGCATACTATTGCAGTGATGCATCATATTCCCGACAGGAATATCAGTCACATAACCTCATTTTCCCCATACCAGATTAGCTGAAGTTCATATTTCTACATTATAGTCTTATCACCCTACTGCATACAACTATACAGTCAGAACCTCAATGATCATCTATCCATATAAATACTCCTTTACTTTATTTGCATTTCACCACCTCATAAAGTTTATAACCATAAAGTTTAAGCTAAAGATGGCCCTCAGGTGCCCAAATGTTTTATATAGTTCAGTTCAGTTTAAACTTAACACATTGAGCACAGTGTCAGCCATCGGTGGCTGACGCTGGACTTTCCATTTAGGCCGCGGCAACCACCGGTGGCTGACACTGAAATTACATTTAGGCTGCGTCTGCCACCGCTTGCTGACACAGACCTTTCACATAGGTCGAGAAAAACAGCTGGCTGACAGCGTATAACATGATATAGAACTATAAAATTTACACTCTTTTATGGAACTGCAGAAAATTTATTCAAAATTTACTTAATTATTGTGATTCTTGGTTTAATAAATTCTATTTAGTAGATTTTTATCCACCACTATTTTTAAACAATTCGTAATCTTATATAATTCACCACTTCTTTAACTTATGTCGTGCTAAACATTTTAAAATTAGCAAGATCTGTCTAATATTGGCAATTTGAGTTTGTAGTAAATTACATTTTGGCCAGACGGGCGGGCCATGTAAAATTAGCTTGGCTTTCAACGTGTTAAGTGTTTTTAACAAGCGTTTTGAATTTTTAATGTTAAATGTTCTACCACTTCTTTTAAATAATTTTTGAAATGCTGACCAGTTAGAATCTTTAGTGCTTGCGAGGTTCTTTTCGAGTGTAAAGTGTTAATTCCGAGTAAGATATAGTTTTTAAGTGCAGTAACATTATAAAAAATTTATGCTTTGTATTTTCCATTTTTTTAAATTTTAAAAAAAATATAATTGTTAAAGTTTATAATCTTTTATTATAATCAGATAATTATAATATATTATTGGTATAATAATATTAACTACTATAGGTTATAATATTAACAACTTAATACGACTTCTAAGCTTGAACTGAAAACTTTATTTATCAATACCTAAAGTTTCATAATCATCCTGTACATATAACAACTTACAACAATACTGACAGCACAAAAATAATCAAAGGCATCATAATATTGTAAATATTAGTTAAAATATAATTTTTAGATAGTTTACATGTTTTCACGGTAATGAATAATCGAAACAAAATTGATTAGTTGCTGTACGAATCAAAAATCTTTACCCGTTCAAACAATATTTGACAAAGAATAAATAATATAAGGCTTTAGTTATTTTGGAATAAAAATGCTAATAAACTGTGGAATTCTAAATAGTTTATAGAAATACTGAATCATGCAGTTATGAGGTTGATCTAAGGTGGGACCTATAAACCTAGGATTTAAGGGTTTCAGGCATTACTTTCCACGTTAAATATCACATGAGATTGATTAAAAAATGAAAACCACCTGAGATTGATTTTAATGCTAATTGATTTTAACTGACGTTTAGTATACTTCTGTCCGAAAGTTAAGAAACAAAGACGTTTTCACGGCGAGCTCGATAATAAAACAAATGAAATAAAATTTTCTTTGAGAACACATTTAAATAAATACAACATGATGCTAATAAAAAAGTTATGGAACGAATTTAAGATCCTAAATGAATGGTAAGTCATCAAGGTAATTAAAAAATGATGTAGCTGAAAGACATTTGAGGGTATAATAAGGGATATGACCCTTCCTAACGACAAGGCGAATCTCACAATGCATTCTCTTGTCATTTACGTGATTAACTAAAGACAATTAACTCTATTCCTCCCTTAAGGCAGTTCTTAAGGCTTAGCAGTAAGGCTTAGCCCTGCGAGTTTTAGGGAAAGGGAGAACTTCAATTGCGCAGGAAACTCCATGGGATTCAGGTCTGGAGATATGAATGGGCATTCCCTTCTCTAAGCATCTTCAGCTTCAATGTATTCCTTAACTAGTTCAGTGCTATAAGCAAACGCACTGTTATTCATTAAAATGAACTAAAGACCAACAGTGCTTTTGAACAATCTTATTTACTGCTCAAAAACCTCATCTCCCTACCCCAAAGAAGTTAAGTAAGTACCCTATAATCAATAGATCCAATCCAGATCAATACATTCGTTCTGAACTGGCACAAGCAAAATCGACCATAGTAGTTGGAAGCAATGGGCTTATGTTCTCTTTACCGATGAGTCCTGATTCAATTTAAATTTCTATAGTTATATCTATTTTTTTATTTTATTTTATAACCGTCGTTGAACAACCGAACCAATTTTATGGGTTTACTAATTTTACGATTGCTAATTTTACGATTGCTAATTTTGTTTACGATTGCTAAATTGTAGCTTGTAATTTTGAACACAATCCAGAAGACAAGGGAACTCCTGGATCAAATTTTGGGAGAAATTTGCCTTCGTGGAGGATTTTTTGATGAAGGTAACACACATTTGTGTTACATGGGGAGGAAGACCACGAGAACTTTCCACGGATAACTTGATGGCAAGGGGACTCTAACCCATGCTCCGTCTCCCACTGCGGATATTTCACATCAGCACTGTAGTCGGTGAAAGACGGATGCGGAATTCGTATCGACTGGGATTCGAACCCAGTTCGCCGCATTGGAAGGCGAAGCTCTATCCCCTGAGCCATCGCGGCTCTAGTTATGTCTATTGTCGAATTCGTTGATTGTTGTTAAAATACTATACATTATTTGCTATCGAAGATTATTCAACCTAACTAGTAGGCTTTTGCCTAGGAATATTCTTAATTTTGTTTTCTAATTGTCTTGTTTCTAACTGTTTCAAATTTGATTATTTAACGTTTGAATTAAAATTATATTGGTCATCAAGTCATTTAAACAACTTTATGCTACAGACTGAAGGTTAAACTAGCATGATGTGATATTTTTAAATGCTGACGAAATTTTAAGCACATTTGTTTAATTTATTTCAAATTCTCTATAGTTATAAATATTGTGAAGAAGTGAACTTCCGAGTTGGCAGCTCTAGTTCTAACTATAGTAGATTGATGTTTATAAAAAAATTTGAACAGTTCGTAGGTTTTAAATGACTATAATTAATAACATTTTACCTAATAGCATATTTTTCAACTTTTATTGAAAGCTATCTTTTAGTATAATTTAAATTTTATCGTTGGAAAATAAAAAAAAATGTTCAAAAGATTTCTCATTTTCTGAAATTTATTGTTGGATAAATACATTTGAGGAGTATAGAGTAACAAAACATATTTTATTAGTCTCACCAATCAATACTTGTTGTAGCTGTTGAAACTGCATTTTCAAGTTATGAAAAATTAGATTTATTTAAAAACAAATTTTAACTTTTAAATGTTGGTTGAAATTAAAAAACAAAGATAACATAAGAAATACTCAGTAAAAAATATTTAGACAGAGCTAGTCTAGTTAAAAACTGTTTTAGTTTTATTCAGAAGAAAAATAAGTTTTCTAATAAGCATTCTTTTAACCTGTGTATTGGAGTTAAAATTTTATTTTCTCACTAACTCCAGTTATTAATAATATTGTTTAAAAAATACGTTTAGTTATAAATATATTTTTAAGAGTTATTTATATTTTGAAAAGAAAAAATTGACCTTTCTTCTTTATTTTCATGGAAAGAAAATATTTTACAAAGCACTTCCGAAACGAATTTTAAAGGAATAAAAGCAAATGTCCCAATGAGCAACAATAGTAATTACAAATACTTCTAGATTAAAAAATTATTTGTATCATGTTTGAAGAGTTATTTTAAAACTTTGAATTAAATTATGTTAAAACTGATATTAAAATATCTTCAGGTGAATAGTAGGGGGAAATGGAAAGTAATGCCATCTATTGGGCAGCTTTGGTGGCTTTCAAGGAGTATACTTACAGGCTGCCACCAGAGGGCGCAATGTCTTGTCTATCTTTTCGCTTAGTGTTGTTGAATGAACCCGTAGGAACGCTAAAAAAAGAGAAACACTGAAGAGAAAAATAAAAATAAAAGGAAGAAAAAAGAAAGAAAAAGATAGAGAAGCTGCAAGAATCCGATAAACAGAATTAATTAAATAGTACTATTAGAAAAAGAAAGAAATTCTTACTTTAAAATTGGTTTAGAATTTGTATTTAATTAATTAATTTTATCCTTTTTTTAATGGAATTATTTTTGTAAGCAACTGGATTATTAATATTTCAAAGAAAAAACAAAGCCATTGTTGCTATTTCCCAAATAGTTATTTTTTTGGTATTTATTTTAGGAAACATAATGGAACTTTTTTTATTTCCAATGGCAACAACAACAATAATACAAACAAGTACGATGTAAATAGATTTTATATCGAAACAAAATGTTAATTTCATGTACGTGATATGATAATTGCATTGCCTAATTATACAAACTAATTTTTAAGTGGTTTTTATGTTATTAAAAAATTAAAGAAAAAAATGGTTGTTCACAATTTTACTTCATTTAAAAATATTTATACGTCGATAAAATATGAAATCAAATATCTATGCAATTACAATTAATATTTTGTTTCGTCAATTCAGATGGAACAAAATGAAGAAAAAATTCTTTTATCAAGTTTTTCATATTTCAAATAAACTAACTGCATCGAAAAATTAATTTATACTATTTTGTACTAAATTTTTAAGTTAATTAATTAGTTATCGTGCCCATTTCCTTATGCTAGTCGAAACTATGGGTGGTTCTTTAGAAAAAAAAAGATATATAAGAATACGATACATGATAACCGAAATTTTTTTAACAGGTTGCATTACTAAAATAATCTACACATTAGACTATTAAGAAACATATATGTGATAAAACAATATGAACACTTTTCTAAGCCATCTTTCTTTTAGAAGTAGAATGTTATGGAACTGTTGGCACATTTTAAGCGATCACGCTTACAAGCTTTTAGAAATTATGTCCTTCTTACTCGAAGAAAACTTGCGTCGACAAAAAGGAGCATATGAAATTCAAGGCTGATTTCCTTTTTTAATATCACTATAATTCTAAAATCTTCTTATATAAATATCACAACCCGAAGAATGTGGCCGGGATAGTCTAGTTGGCAGGACGTTGGACAAACGTTTGTGAGAACGGGAGTTCGAATCCAGCTGGACGAAGACTCCCCGTGTAGTAAATGGTGACTGGTGCACGTTGAACCTGTCGGGTCACAAAATCCTCCATTTCTCCATAACAAATTATACCTCTGGGGGTATTGAATTGGAGATTGATCACTGGTTCAGATCAAAATTCTACGATCTGTGGACGAATGAATGGATGTATGAATGAGTCTGTCCTATGAACGGGAGTAATGCATGGGTGCGGCAGCAGTCAAATTCTTGGCCATAGATGGCGCCACTGGAAAACAAGAACAATCTCACCTCCAATGCCTTAATGGCCGACGACAGTTACAACATTCGAAAAATGATTTCAAAATTGCTGGTATAAAAGCTAAAGAGAAGTTTTAAACATGCTTTTCTCAATTTTGACTATTGAAATTCTGCATGGGTGAAAATGATATCATTTCTAAAATTCTACAAGCATGATCATTCAAATTGTGCCAACAGTTTTGCCGTGAGAAATCCTCCAAAACATTTGTTGCTAAAAGAAAGATCGTTTAAATAGAGTTAGTATAGAAATGTTCATACCATTTTGTCATACTTAGATTACATGTTACATATATTTGTTGAATAATTGCTTTTTATATTAATTAAGTCATTGAAAAAATGTTTAACACACATATTTTAAGGGGAACAGTAGTGACCAAATTTTGAAAACGAGTATTTTACCTAAGTTTAGTTATTCTTCAAAATAGCATAGTTTTTTCAGTCAATACTTACGATGGCGGTGATGGTAGGACCACTTGATGTATCTTCCATGTTGCGACTGACATGGAGCTTGGATCGGCAGCGTAGCACCTCCACAAGCACTGTATGAGCGTGGCAGCAGGAACTCTCCTCCTGATCATGTGCTTCTGGCGTTGTTGCTGTTGCACCTTCAACGCGAATCCAGACCCCAGGATACCCTGCAACATAATTCATGATTTGCATTGGGAACAGAACTCTGCAAAACTATTACGCTTCTAGTTCTGATTGATGCATTTGAAACCACTGGGTACATCACATTAAAGTGGATTATGAAGAAAAAAAATCCTTTTATAAAGGCCTATAATTAACAAAGGAAAAAAAAAGACTATTTGAAAACAGCAGCTTAGGTGAACACACTAGAAAAAAATATAATGAGCTTTCTAGCCACGATATAGAGTAATTGATACAGAGTATTCAATTGAGCATTCAGCCGATATATGATAGAGCATTCAACTGATATAGTATCTAGAGCAATGGTTCCCAAGAGATGGTTCTACGGAGCGCTAGGAAGATCCTAGGGATTCCGTAAGTTAGAACCTTCTTTTTCTAACCAATAATGATTGTTGAAATCCGTGATATATATATATATATATATATATATATATTAAAATA